TTGGCTTTGCTACCAACATGCCAATATGTTGTTGTCCTTAATCTATGTAGAATTTTATTTATTGATAATGTACTAACTGGATGCGATGCTATAGTAAAAATGCTGAGAATTCCATTCTGTATCACAACAACTGTTTTGGAATAGAGCAAATTATTATTATTATTACTATTAACAAGAGAGAAATTTGCACTGTTTAAAACCCTGACAATCAATAACTCGTTAAAGATGATTCCACATTCATTTGAGATATCTAGGCTGTTAGACTTTAGTCAGCGGGAAGTACTATCCTACCATCTTTTCACAGTTTTGTGATTTGCTTACTCTGTTGATAGACTTGTAGGATAATCCTACTCAAGATATTGGTGTATTATGGATAAATTATTTCCCGTTTTCACTTTTACTGAGCAAACAAAGTATCTTGGAGCCTGCGATCTGCTTTGCTTGGTTAACATACGGGTCTATTTTAAAGCTGAACCTACGTATATGCGTATATATGTAAATATATATATATATATAATGTTTTGACAACATACAGAAGTTTTATAAAGTCATCAATATCTGTAGAGCTCAGTTGGTAGGTTTTACCAACGTACCACAGCACTGAATCAAGAGATGCAAGCGATCAACTTAAGTTTACACACTAGTAGCAGAGATGAGGTTGAAAGAGGTGACCACTACTAAATATTAAACGATGCGCATGGAAAGAGATGTTCAACTACAGTTTACTATCAGTTATAACAATAAATATTCAATAAGATTGAACAAAATTGGCCTCGACAAAAATCTTGTATAAACGCATGAATTATTTATAGAAAAGTTTTGTTAGGGCCAAGTTAGGGATACAATAGACCAACAGATTACCTGCCTTTCATTTATTTCTAATTACTTCTTATCCATAGATCATAGGACACAAATAGGCGTCAGAATGCTAACCAGTGTAGTGCTGAAATATTTAATACTATCTGACAAACAAAGTAGTATTCTCTGTACGACAGTGAGTATTTTAACCTGACGCAATTGTATTTATGTCACAATCAAAATACGCCGTGTTCAAAATGATCACAGTTCTAACATGTTGGTCTTTATGAGCTTATAATAGAGGTAAATGTAAAAAATATTGAGATCTGTTGTACAACTTGTGAACTAAAATGCTCTTATTTTAAATAAATTTAGATGTATCAGATATTCTGTTACAAAAACTTGAATAACAGGGCATATTTTATGGTCAAAGTATAAATGAACCCCAATAATGCAAAGAATCTTTGTAATTATGACTGACTGACTGACTGACAAGCCTGTTCCAAAATTTGCTCTACACTTTGCCACATTTCAGAAAAGTGCGCAGAATGGTAGAGACATGAAGTGTAATGACACAAACACTGATGGGAGAGAATAATTAGATAAAGAATAGTGTGAATTAACAGGATTGAATTTGTCTGCACCGTTACGAAATATCTTGAGGTATGCCATGAAGAATCTTTACAACTGTCGGTTGCAAACATTCTACGAATCATGGTAAAGCAGTCTGCACCTTCTTTCATGGATTGAACAAACGGTCAGATTATATGCATTAGTGCCATATTTTTGTCTAATCACTCTTATGACCGTACCGCTCTTGTCCCACATCAGCTAATACTGTCTGGAAGTGAATAACATATACAGAAGTTATGTCAATCGACGAAGCTTCATAACCTCTTTATTACTGACCATGTTGCGCTAACTGGTAGGAAAGATTGAACAAATACGCCTATTGTCATAAACTTCTAGTCTTTTCATATCATCTATTTCCAACGTCCATTTTCTGTAGCCTTTAAGCAGAAAGATTGGAAACGAGGAAGACCACATGTTCTTAAACGAGTGGCAGGATGAAAATTCTGAGCCCAAAGTTAGTCATTTTGACAAATGCCAATCGATCCTTCTGCAATCATCCGTTCGGGCTGATACAACTTCTAAGATAAGTGAAAAAGGTCAATACATCCAACCATTTCACCTCTTATCTTTGGACTTGAAGTCGGTTCACAACTGATCTCGTCCGTAGAAGAAGTCATTTATGAGACTGTAAACGTCTTCAGTTCTTTAGTGAAAGGAAACTGTTATATGCTAAAATTATTCAATTAGCCATGTTAGTATCTGAAATTTATTTATTTTGCATTCACAATGTGAAATATGCCGATGTGTTGCATCAGGTTAATCTGAAAATCTCCCCTAAATGCAATACTTTTACAAGGATTAATGTTCGAAACTGGTGTAACTCCTCGTTCTGATCACACAGACATACGTTTTCTTATTACACATTCACTGTGGCTGACTACTTAGACTAAAGGAACACTTGGGTGAATTTATCTTTGTCATTCTAACTACGATCAACCTGATTTTCTCATTTCTTTGTGTGTTGAGTGGAACATGAGACTTCAAGCTTTGAGCTCTGAAATTTCTGTAGCCGTGGTATTCATTTTACGAGGTGGGGTTGCTAGCGTCACACCCAATCATTCCCCGTATATCGGGCTTACTACTGGCTAACCGAGTTTTAGGAGTGCCTTGGCAGGAAATCGAACCCAGACCATTTCAGCATATCTGCGAGAATTCTACCAGAGAACCATAGACACACTCAATTTCGATTCTTTCGTCCAAATTGATATCAAATATCTATGACCGATAATTTCATCATGTAACTGTAAAGCTGGTAAAGGAGGAAGGCTTAACGTTGGACTAGCAAGCCTACTCCACAATGCGAAACAAATCTACTGCTACTGATACTTTAGGGCTAAAGCCTGAAGGCCTATGTTCCACTTGGAGTGCGAAGGAATGAAAAACGACGTAGGGAAATATATCAAAAGAAATAGATCAGTTGTATTACTCACAATTGTTTTCTCTTTACATACTTTCAGGCTAATAAACCTAGAGTATTTACTTTAGAGAACATTGACAATTTAAATCAAATAGCTTATAGGAACGTCAAAAAAAGAAATAAACACAAGTTAAAATTTTGATTAGTCAAAGCAAACAACCACTGCTATCAACTCAGTCATATAAAAATTGACTATGTCAACGACTCAATTTTATGACTAGTTGACACGCATTAAATCTATAACTCCATGTCAACATTTACAGAAATTATGGGGGAAAAGTATATCCCACCCAGATTATAAGTAGTAATCAGCAGGATTTGATAGTTTGTTTGATTCCAGAAAAGTTGAAAGATTATGGTAGAGAATCTTTTTCTGAAATAACTGTGGGATTTCATGATGCTTTCATCAGACTAGTGTGTATCACTGATTATCCCTGTTTGTAAGAAACAAGGTAAACAACCACAGGTTTGATATATTTAGTTTCTTGCACGCCAAGAACCATGGTCATATGAAATATTATAAGTAGTCCTCTAGAAAAGACCTGAGGAAGTTGAGGAGTTTTCAGGCCTATATAAGAGCAGGTTGATTAATCAGTGATAGAAGCCACAGATCTTAAAATGATGATGCAATCAGCAGCATCCAGCATTATGTTTAGTTTTCATGGCATTCAATAGGCGTTAAAATAACGTAAACTGAGTGAAAAGTAAGTATTTTCGGCTATTAAGACATCTATTTTATTACCTTTCATCATGATGGAATATACAACGCATTAGTCGCTGGCTAGCAACTACTCACGTTACTCAGTAGCGCTTGTTAGGTAGATCGATGTAATCTAAACACCTAACTACCTTTTCACCTTTTAGCAGTTAAGTTCATAGAGTCATTTAGACTCATTTAGCCCTCTGAGCTGAGTCAGTTGAGTACCGTCCTGATGCACCTGTCTTCAAACAAGCGAAAACTGCCGTCTGACACACAGATCACTTTGACTTAGCTAGTAAACACTAGGGGTTAGCGTTAGTGGTTTCGAATCACCCATCCGTCAATGATACTAAAAAATAAGTCTGAAGATAGTTAACTTTCTTAACAGAAAATACTTTTTCTTCACTGCCTTCCCAATCGAGCATCACCATAATCCCTGTCGATTGTCATATGATATGTAGGTAGTGCTGGATGCTACTAATTAATGTCTCTTTGTAAGATCCATTGCAGGGTTCGATTACATATATATTAGTCTAGGCATTTACAGTTCATTTGTATAGTGTTAGTTTAACTTTAAATACCATTTTCCAGATTCTGAAATTTCGTCCTACACTTCTTTAATCGTAGCTATACTTTTATACGTGCTTGTTTGCAGTATGACAATGTTAACTGCTTCATTTTGTGCAGAATTACATGTTGATAAGCCAGTCAGTGAATTAGATTTCCTTAGGAAAAGAAACCATGGAATGAAGCAGATGAAGAAATGTGATACTTGAGTTTACTTGAAGTTATTTATGTAAATACATCTGCACTGGTGCCAACAATTGTGATTTCTATAATCTAATGGACTATTAAGTATCCCTATCGAGATTTTGTCAAACACTGATACACTAAGGCAGGTTAGATTCTAGTTATTTTTATTCTTTTGAGTTTCAAAGTGAGCACAGAGATTCAGACTCTGAAGTTCCAGGAGTGGTGGTGTTAATTTCACAAAGTGGGATTACTTTACCTCTTCTCCAGGCCTACAATCGGCGAGTAAACTAGGTGATATTTAGGAGAATGTTGGCTGGGAATAAACCAATGTGGTAGGTGAGTTTTCTGCCACTGAACTACTCTGGGATGACTGACTGATAGAATTCAGTCTGCTCCAAAGAAAGCACTAGACACATTACACTGGTTACTAGTGTCCAATCAAAGTATCCGATACAGTCCTACAGAAGGCCAGTTACCAGCACGAATACCTCAGTGGTAACGTCTCTGACTGCGATACTAGGTGAAGCGAGTTTGAATCTCAGAAGGGACAAGAGTTCCTTCAAGGTTGCGCATACGCCTTGTTGGCTAGTGAGTACCAACTAGCAGGAAACCTGTGTTGATTGCCTCCAAACATCTAATATGACTAACTTCTATCTGCTGCATAAAAAGTAGTTCTATAAATATTTTAAGATAACTTACGAAATCGCTTTTATAATTGATGCGATCCAACAAATCACATTCATTGAACCAAATATTATTCCAAAGATCGTTAATGACTTAATCGTATTTTTACGGTATGATTCCAATACAACTGGATCAATTGTTGTTTCCATTGTTGTTAAACCGCCTAATTTGCTTAAATCTTCATTCATCATTAGATAATCTTCTCCACTGACAAGGTAAATTGTAGTGATTATTGTCAAGATAAACATAATCACATATGAGATAAGTTCATATCCACAGCAACACATTGTTCAATATGGCTACGTCCGCCTTTTTATTGGTCTACTGTATCCCTTTAGGCGTCTTACAAAACTGAACACAAATACGGAGAGATATTTTTTTCAGTACATATAAACTGCTTGCTTTTATTTTATACCTGATGAGTAGAATACCTTTATAATAATTTCTCATAGTGTGAATTAAACTCTAATCAAAATCTTATAGGTTAACTTAAAAAATCGATACATTTTAAACATTTTCATTGATTTTTTCAGCTGATTTGACAAAGTGTAATTCATTATAAAGCACTTTGAAATAATACTTATAATTGTAAACATTACTGATTGACTTGTATTTGAACAAAGACATTTTGAGCTTCTAAACAGAGAACTTTGGTTAACTGTTTAGCTGGAAATATAGAAATGATGACTTCACTAAAACTAATTTATATGAAAGACAAAATATATCAATTGTTCATACGATTATTTTATAGCATCTTTGACCAGATGCAACATTATTAAGTATGCTAGTTAGTAATCTAATTAAACGAGTGTAACACTGATAAGTTAAACTGATAAGCTATTGGAGTCTGAATAACATTAGGTATTAAGTAAAAGGAATGGGATTTTTTTATTTTAAGGACTGAACGCATGACGCCAGTAATCACCTAGTGTCCAACTAAAGTATCCTTTACAGTCCTGCAGGAGGCCAGTCATGCTCCCGCATTGCTCAACAGGTAATACCTCTGATCGCAGTACTAGGTGACCAGGATTCAAGTCCCAGAAAAGATTTGAGTTCCTTAAGATACCCCTTGTCGACTAGTGAATGCCAACGAGTAGGAAACCTAGGTTGAAGGCCTCCTGTCGATTGCCTCCAACCGTCTACCAAGCGTGATAATTACTGGTCATAGATTTCAGAAGTGAAATCCTTCAGAAACAAATGTTAGCTGGTGCAAAGAAAATAGCTTTACCTTAATTATCTCTCCACTATATTTTCCATTTTAATGAATTATTTTGAAAATGTTTTTTAATGAGCCAGTTTTAAGTACTCTGAAGATTTCATACTTTTAGAGCGTTACGTAAATATTTAACACTAAGTGTCCAATACTCCTTTTGTTTTATTAAGCTGAAGTGTTTTATTATTATCGTTTTTTATTCCTTCGCTTCTCAAGGGGAATATAAGGATTCAATCTTTGGGCTTTGAAGTTTTAGTAGCAGTGATGTTATCCTTTTTTAAGATGAAGGGTCGCTATTCTAGCATCCAGCCTTGCCTCGTTATCGGGGACAATACCGGTTAAGGAAGGTTAGGATTGCATCGATCAGGAATCGGACTCCAGACCACGCGTATGTTTACCGAGCATTCTACTGCCGAATTCATCGTCCGTTCGTAGCGATGGGAGTGCTTTGTAAACAGGGTTGCTAGGCCCATTCCTAGACTTTCATACTTATAGAGGTTAGGGCAATTTAGTAAACTAGGCGACTTTTGGCTCCAGATACAGAAGCTGAGCCCGGAACGCCAAGGTAAAAGGCAAGAATTAGAACCACTTACTGAAAGTCGGGAAACCCACTGGGTAAGACGGCATTCACCCAAATGTACTGAAAACGGATTTAGAAGGAAGAGAAGGTACCTGTCAATTAGTAGAAAAGCTATCTTGTTCAACCAGCAATGAGTGGCAAAGTGAGCCTATGCAGGAATTGGCGCGGAGTCACACTTCTACCCACCCAAAGGAAAATATTAAAGACATCTGAAGGTTGCTTTCGATGAAAGCACTGAATGGGATGAATCCTGGATGAATTCTTTTGGAGTAAAAAGAGGAGTAAGCCAATTCTGACTACTATCAACTGTGATCTTCCTGTTTATGATGGAATGGATCATGTAGCAGACGATAAGGAGTGAGAAGACAGGCATATTTTGGACCGAAAAAAGGAATTTAATAGATTCGGATAGAGTATATGCCCTATGTCTAGTGTTGCACAAACTAGAAGATTTAAAGGGAAATTAAACTAGCTGGCAGAAGAGTTAGAAAATACAGGACTTCAGGTGAACATAGAGTAGATAGTGGGGAAAAAGATACTAAACGAACAAAAACGAATACCGGGCATCATCAACGGGACAGGTTTAAACGAAGCCAGCTCTTTCAGTCATCCTAACGGGGTAGCATCATTTGAATTACATTCGGAAAGGAGTTATTCGTTTAAACTAACAAGGTTTCGGAAAGAAAGAATGAAGCTAATTACTCTGAAATCACTGTGGAAATATACAGAGACTAGCACACTGAACAAGGTCTGAATTTCAAGAGCTAATTTTGTGGTGAGAGCTGGCTGTAAGCCAAATTGGTGGACAGTAATTTATGTCAATTTTTACATCCCCAATATTGGTCGTGAGAAAAATGAGAACAAAGACTTTGCGTAGGTGGATACAGTTAACATACAGATGATCTGGCATTCAAGAAACAGCCACAAAGAGATGCAAGGTTAACTTTCAGTGAGAAACAACCAATCAGAGGACCATGTTTTTCTGCTAACAATAATCTATAATATGTACATGAAAATCTATAAATATGTGTTGATTTCCTTAATAAACGATCTGTTGCCTGTCTCTTGTCTTCTTCATGATTCCGAGACTTGTCGCGCGTAACTGAGATATTTTCAACAACCTGCTTCAAACTTTCACAAAGATTTGCCTTCGCTGCCTCGATCCTGAAGACCAAGTTTTTTACCATAAAGGATAAGCCAGCAACAAGAAACCGATAGGTAATGAATCAGCTCAGAACTAGTGGCCAGTCCAAGAAGTACTCAGAAGGGAATAAGGATGGATCGGATAAAAGATGAAGACATAATTGAGTAACATCTCATGCCATATAAGCCCTCGAATAGGATGTGAATGAGAAGAGATGGGTTAGACATCCGGAGATGATATAGAGAAGATTATGAGAAAAGGAAATGAAAGCTTGCACATTATCATGCAGCTGGAATGTTACAGAAAAGAACTGAGTGGAGTTCGAATGGTTTGCTGAAACCCTATATTCTACTGAAAAAGCCTAGAATGAATGAGTAATATTAACTTTGATGTGATTAAGTTCTCTTCGTGATTAAATCACTCATCTCAGAAAAAACACCTGCACGATAAACACCCAGCTGATCTAGAAATCTCCATTATTTCAATACCAATTATTCTGACTGTTATTTGTGCTCCTTAATGTCTGCTTTCTCACAGGTTAAAAGGTTGTTTGAATGAATATTTTGGTGAGACCATAACAAGAAATAATTAATCAAAAAATAGAATATTTTTACTGTTGTGACAAGCTTTATCAATCCGTTGATCCTGAATCGTCTCATACCACTCAGTTAGCCCAGTCCCGTAAGTTTTCATTTTCGATGGTTCTACTGAATATGGAATAGATTCTCTGTCACGTGTTATCCATGGCATGTCACTGCCATGTCACAAATGGTATGACAACAAAGTGAGATTGGTCAGCCAACGACATGAAATCAGATAATGAATTCACTGGTCGTTAGACTGGATTCGGTAGGATGATATGAACGGCTTAGCTGGGGTCCTCAGGATTCCTGGAATCGGTAGCTGAAAATCAATGATCAAATGCTCGAAACTGTCTGTATTTGCTTCAAGGCCCTTTTCGTAGAAATACAGAAAATCTTCAATCATTTCTGTTGATATATTCCTTCAATAACGCATATTTGTTACACTATAGGTTCACCAGCTAGTGCAGTTTGTAGAGGGTTCCATATTGACCTGTCACGTGGTAATGTTGTACCTACTGCGATGTATGTGTTTTGAACAAAATTTATAATTATACGTATATTTCTCTGAAAACAATCTCTGAATCTTATAAAAGTGCATTTACCATGAATGCATTGAATTAAAGCATATTAAATCAGACAGACTACGTTTCTACTCAAAATTTTTCCAAGGTAAACAGCATTGGAGTTAGATTAAGTAAACAAATTCAAACCAAGAAACAAAGGAAATTGTGTCCACTGGACAAAAATGGGGGGCGTATAATGGAAAACACTTCCTGTTCAAATAACAACCCTTACACTATTCTTCAAGCATAATCACTATGGCTGACTCCACATCTATTTTAATAGTCCGCACAGTTTCAAAATTATTTTAATCAAATTACTTATTATGGGAATTATCCCAAATGCTAACAGCTATAGAAAGTGGTAAGTACGACAATATTCTTCAAATTTAATGACTACTACTCTGGTAAAGTAGTCAACGTCTATTTGACGAAATGTAACATAAAAGACGGAAGAATGAAGTCACGGAACTATTAGAAATTCCGTCTCTGAGATCTCTTTGTATTGATAAGTATGACCTACATACTGATTCAGCTTTCTTAAGTGGACAGAATGAAGTACACCAACTACAGGTTTTGCTAAAACTAGCAAAACTGTCTTCTGGTATTTGCATCACACACTACTGTGATGCGTGAGTGGTTTTCAACTACTTATATCAGTGAATTAGTAGTATGTTACACCATGAAATACATTGCCCTCCTAATACGAAAGTTTGGACGAGTACATCCTGGTAACGGATGACGTTTTATGGCAAGGTTGTCTTATACGAGTAGGCGAATACTGTTGATAAATATCGACTCGATTGCTGGTTAACAAAAGCTTTTCTCCTTCTATAACCTTAGATTAGGGATGAGGAATTGTGTGATTTTATAACTGATAGGTATCGCGGATCGATGTGCAGTTATTCTGTTGTATATAAATATGTAAATCCTGATTACGATGTATAGTTCATGCACAGATATCATATGATATGTTGGTTGATTGACTTACACTACTTAAGGTATTGAAAAACTGAAATCAGAGTCTTATTCAAACAATCACAATTTTTGATTTGACACTAGTAACTAGTGTGACACTAGTAACGTCTCTAACTGCGGCACTGGGTGACGTGGATTCGAATCTCAGAAGGGATATGAGTTCCTTCAAGGTTGCAGATACGCCTTGCTGATAAGTGTCAACTAGCACGAAACCTAGGTCCAAGGCTTCCTGACGATGGCCTCCAACCATCTAATGTCATCAAATCACAATTTTTATCATGTCATCAGACAGAAATTCTGTGACCTTATCTTGATAACTTTATTTTAGACATGCGAATACATATTTGTTTCCAAGTTATTCCGTGAATCCCACTAACTGACTGTT